ACGGAGAAAAACATGATATTAACAAACGATAAACAATAGCTTTCTGGAAATGTAACAATCATAAACTGTAACATAGCCGCTTTTAACGTTAGAACCATTAGTGTCGGAAAATACTTAATAGTAAGTGCAATTTCGTTTTTATATTACAACACAAATCTGCCTGACAGTACAATGAAAGAATGGATAGATTCTAATAATTCAAGATTACCTTTAGTAGATCCATGAGAGTGGCCGTATAGTATTGATTTGATGTCATATCCTTTAGTATAGAAGTGCATTTTATGTCTTATGTCAGTGTAATTAACGCACGAAAAGAAATAGTGAATTGGATCTTCGTAACAGTAGCCACAAGAACAAGAGGGATTTGAAGATATAAATCGTTGATATTTATGTGCGTTTAAATCGCTGCAACCGAGCCTGAGGCGTGAATGGATAATCTGACAGAATCTTGTTCCAAAGCTTAAATTGAAGTAATTTTGACTATTATTATTATTTGACCCATTAATCTGTTTCTTAAAACTACCCAAAGTAGCCGTTTCTCTATAATCGGTAGACAAACAATTCCACAATCTTACTGTATCTGGGAGAAATGACTTAGCATAACTTGCACTTTTACTATCAATAGTTTGGAGCTTCAAACGGTCTAGGAAAATGTAGCTTGTTGTGTCAGATACCTTAGGAGGGACGAGATCGTTCAGATATTTTGGAGTTAAATTATTAACCATCTTATAGAAAAACGTTAGTTTTTGGATGTATCTTCGAGTACATAGTGATTGGAAATTTGTCTCATCATAAATTTTGTTGTGACTCGAGCCGCGAACAGCACCGCAAATAGTTCTAAGTGCATCAAGATTATGTTTTTCCAGTGTTAGTGCTTGCTGTTTGGTACAATTGTCCCAGATGTGACAACAATAGTCGAAAATTGGTAAGATATATTGTTTGTACATTGTTTGTAAAGTTCTACGTGAGAGACGATATTTAAAACCTCTAAGACAGTTTACCATGGGTGCAACCTTTTTAACGATACAGTTAACATGGTCAGTCCAGGAACAATCGTGCTGTAAAGTAAGTCCCAAATGTTTATGGCTATTAACGTCATTAATATTACCATCCTTCATTGTTAAGTTTCGTTTTGGGCTGGGCTGAACTTTACGAGAGAATTGTATAGAATCTGTTTTATTAGGATTAAATGTAACTTGCCATTTGTCAGCCCAATCAGAAATTTTACGTAGATCATTATTAAGAGACAGAGCAGTTTCATCAGGATCATTTATTATAGCATAAAGTGATGTGTCATCTGCGAAGAGACGGATATTGCTGTTTATTCCTTCAACGATGTCGTTGATATAAACTATAAACAATAATGGTCCTAAGACAGAGCCTTGGGGAACCCCGGCTAAGATTGATCTTTGATCAGACGCGTAACCATTAATAACAACTCGCTGAACTCTATTGTCTAGATAACTCTCAAACCATTTCAACAAGTTACCCCCGATACCATAACGTCTTAGCTTATGTATAATACCTTTATGCCAGACCTTGTCAAAAGCCTTACTTACGTCACAAAATACAGCCCTAATTTCCTTACCGCTATCTAATGCACCCGCTATGTAGTCATACAGGTACGTTAGTGGATTAACCGTTGAATCGCCTGGCATGAAACCGGATTGTAAGTTTGTAAGCATTTCATTATCCCTAAAATGATTACATACATGTTTAAAAATGCATTTTTCGAAAATCTTTGCTACACAGCTTGTTAGTGCGACAGGTCGATAGTTAGAGCATTCATTTGTACTGCCTTTTTGTGTATAGGAACAACTGATGCCTCCTTCCAGATATCAGGAAACACTGTATTCTTTAATGATAGATTAAAAAACTTCAGATAAGGGAACTGCTAATTGTCTTGCATTCATTTTCAGAAATCTATTGCCAATACCATCTGGGCCTGTTGGTTTAATGATATCAACAGAGGAGAGAATATCATGGATTTCTTGCGGACTGAGTGTTAAGTCACATAATGGGTTATCTACCTCTAAACGAATTTCAGGAATATCCCTATTAGGAGCAGCTACTCTTGCCCGATCTGCAAAGAAATCATTCATAATGTTTGCTATATCAGCACTATCATCATATAGTTTATCGTTATGGATTATCGAAGGAAAAGTATTAATATTGGTGGTGTGTTTACTTTTTATATAATTCTTAACTAAACGCCACCATGTTTTGGTACCATGTTCATTATTTATTTGTTCATCAATTTTATTCATGTACATCTTCTTTGCATTTCTTACCGCGGATATAACTTTATTTCTACTCAATCTAAAAAGTGCCCAGTCAGATGATGAGTTACGCCTTTTTGCGATTTTATGATGGCGATTGCGTTTACGAATCAATTTACGTACCTCACTATTCATCCAGGGGGCGTCACGGGGCCTTATCGTAACGACCTTATTTGGAATATAACTATCGCATAATTTAAGAATTGCACCAGTCAAGTCGCTTGCGATTCGGTTAATATTTTCAGAGGCAAAGATAGCATGCCAATCAAGAGTATATAAGGCATTTTTAATACCGTCAAAATCAGCTAGAGTATAATTACTAGTATATATTTTTCTCTTGTAATTAATCGATTTTGCAATCGACTCATTAATGGTGACATATACAGGGCAATGATCGCTACATACAGGATCTAAAACACCCGATTATAGTACAGCGCTAACACTTGAAACAAAAATAAGATCAATTAATGTACTGGAACTGGGTGTAATCCTTGTAGGTTCAGTTATAAGCTGTGTTATTCCAAATAGCAGTTGTAATTGATTAATTTTATATCTTGTGTCTGCAAGTAAATTAATATTAAAGTCACCAACTACAATTGTATCCATATTAAGATCAACAGCGTTATTGATAGAATCTTCGATTAAATCCCAGTAAGCTTCTGTTTTGTCTGCCCGATAGAACGTTCCTATTAAGTAATTCCGTTTTTTTACATCTTACTTTTATCCACATCGCCTCAAGCCCGGCTAAAGTTAAATTCTCCATATATTCAAAACTCATTTTACTTTTAACGTACACTGCGACACCCCCGCCCCTGCTCTGTCTATCATTTCTGAGAGGTGAATGGAAACCCGGAATTAAAATATCATTATTACTTATACCATCATGTAACCATGTCTCAGTAAGACATATGACGTCGTAGGTTCCGAACTCTGCCTCAAGTATGTCAATTTATCTTTAAGGCTACGCACATTTAAGGGTATTATGTTTAGTTCATTATTTTTAATTGGACCTGGGTGAGGATGAATATCACCGCAGATCAAGAGAATAAGAGACGCTACCAAGGTGACTTTGGCATTGGATAGGCAAAGAAGTAGTAAAGAATAGGAGATATTTTTAAGCTTGTTGGCAGATTTGTTTGAATATGACAAACAAAAGAACCCACCACTTGTCTGTACTGTACAATATCAATCATTGTCGAATAAGTTAATCATAATAGCTTGGGTGGGTTCTCTTGTGAGAAAATAGAACTGATCTAATTTCCGACATACAACTGAAAAGCAGTTTAATTGTGTATTTAAAGCTATTGATTTGTTAAGAGAAAAAGGCAAACATATCTGTTTGCTAATGAGTAGATAACTTGAACAATGTATCTCTCTGACAGAAATCCAAGAAGATAATCCGACTAAGGTAAGAAAATATAAATAAACGAAAAATAAAATCAGGTTACAGGTGGAATCTTTCATCTGTAACAGAAAAAGGAACAGTGGAAAATAGAAAAAAAGAACATCTGTTTACTGAACCTGTATGGTGACCGGTCTAAATCTCGGCTATGCATGCAGCTCAGGATGCACGAGCGTCTGTTACGTAAGACAACTGTGGAGGACGGATAATACCTGACAAAATATTTTTAGAGAGAGATAGCGGTATGAGATAAGTATGCAAGGGTTATCAAACAACTGTTGAAGTAAGTTACTCTTTATGAATTATGACAGCTACGCATAGAAGTAGTATAACTGGATTGAATACAGAATGACAAATTAATCCTTGGAAAGATTTATAACATTTACTCAACATAAGTTGGACTTGTGTTCCACATACTGCCTGCGCATACATACACACGCACATATACATGCGCACACACACATACACACAGATATACATATGCATACACATACATGCACACACACATATGCACACATGCACATAGATACCCACATCTATACATACATACGCGCATACATACACACACGCGCGCACGCACGCACACACACACACACACACACACACACCTGCGAATATATACATGCATACACAGACATATACATATCTGTCATATCGAGCAGCTCATCCTATGCACATAGTTACCAGACCGTTACCCTTTTGTACCTCCATGTGTAAACAACAGATAACCAACAATATAAGACACTCAGCATACATTAAACAAACTCATGGTTCCATGGACAACGTCGCACAATACACAGTACTGCAAAATGCTGCATGAAGATTTAAAACAATGTCACACGCTTTGGTGACGTTATAGATCAATACACGTGTGGTAAGACATGATATGTTCGTAATATCATATCACTTTATTGAGGTCATATCATACATATTGTGACTATATGTTTGTATCTATACCGCGTGGCACGTAAGTGAAATATCTTCTTATCATATTTTATTTGTAGCTTGTTCGTGTGTCGTGTGTCACTTGCTCCGATATATCATGCGATATATCGCTTCATTGGCACAGACTGGATTATTTACGGACAGCCGTCAATTAGCTTGAAAAACTGAAGGGAGTTTTCAAAATATACACAACTTTGCTACGGGTTAAATGCTACTGGAAATGAGGCACCGGAAATTCAGCCACACACCTAGTTCAGATAAGTCCAAGTCAATCATAAGCATTAAAACACATCCAAAAGCAATCTACGGAAAAGATAATTTGATTCTCGTGACCTTTTCCACAGTCGTGTTTAAGTTCAAATGTAAAACAAGGATTGCAGGCTCCTGTGTCGTCAGTGTCCCTCACATCGGGAAGCGGAGAATATACCTTTCACAATGGGAGTATTTGCACTGACATTTTTCTGGTTACTTTTTGTGTTTGGAGTAGGGGACTCACATGGTATCCTTGAAATCAACACAGGGCGTATTGGATACCCTGATGGACATGATGGTGAAGAAATGCCTCCGTCATCGCCGACAGTTGGAGCAGATAGTGAACCATCTCGCCTTCTCGTTGCTCGATACTCTTACAGGGGGTACACCGCCAAAAGAAATACGGCTTGCTGACAGGTCCGTTCGGGATTACCCATTCCTCAACTCCAGGCAGATCAGCTCTCTTGCGTATGTCTCACAGCTGAGAAGGTTGTTAGTTGCTACGGACAACCCTGATGAGATCACAACCAGGGGGAGACAACTCGTCTTTGTTGCCGCGTACGTCCCACTATACAGCATCTGTCGGATGACACCACAGGGCGGGGAGTTTCAGTACGTACTTAGACAGTCTCGGTATGAAACATCTGTTGGCGTCACTGTTGATCCGGCGACAAGGACGGTCTTCACGGCGTTGCGGACGAAGCTCCTCTCAGTGAACTACGACGGTGAACATTTGCAGACATTGTTTACTGGTGAGGCTGTATATGCTGTGAATTTCAATCCAGTGGACCATACCCTGTACTTCAACCACAACGAGTACGTGATGAAGATGTTGCCTGGTTCCACCGAGCCTGCTCTGGTGCATGAGCTGGACTATACACCATTCAGTATCGCTTACTATAACAGCAGCCTTTATGTCGGAGGGTATACAGCTGGAGATGTCGGTGCCATACGTCTTGGCAACCGTTCCGTAGAATACGAGGAGTTGCTGCAGGTGGAACTCACTTTACGCTTAAGCATGTGCTTACTGCCATAAAGGGCAATAACATGACGATATTACATGTCAGTCTATTAATGTTGTTTCTCGGAAACTGTTATCTCTGAAGATGTGACTGTTATGCCCATGTATTATGTTATTGATAGACGAGTTTGTACCAGGTGCTTCTATAAACTGAATATAAATAGGCATTGATTCTTGTTATATTCATTGATGTTTTGTGTTCATGTTTTACACATACATGCCAGCATGCCAACCCCATGTCTATATACGATCAGTGTCCCATGTAGTGTTGTAGTTAGAATTCGACGTTCTCATCGCCAAGGCCGGGATTCGACTCCCCGTCTGGGAAGTACATTTTTCATCTTAAGTCTTAAATCTGTTGTGAAAATGTTGTATTTTCAAACATGTATAACTCGTCCACAAATAGACTTTAGTTCATGAATTTTCACATCAGTTTAGAAGAAGGAAATGTCTATACAACCAAGTGAATAACTTTAGATAACGGAGACATTGAGCGCGATGATGACGACGTAGCATGGTCCTGACGTCGGGTCTCCTGGCTCTCAGTCCAATCTCTCTCAACCTGTTCCGTACAGTTTGACCGGATATCCTCCGAAGTCCAGGCACCCGGGCTGCTGTGCTCTCACTCGTGGCGGTACGATCACGCAAATGTAGTACCCTGAAGTACCGATCTTGGGGTGCAGTGGTGACTCGAGGTCTGCATGTACGGGAACGGCCATTTGTTATACCTGTCAGGTTGTAACGAGCTGTAAGCCGTGATATCTTGCTCAGACTAACATTCAGACGCCTGGCAACAGAAAATTAGTTATCTCCAGCGTGCATTCTTGCAATGGCGATGTTCCGTGTCGCAGCGTCAAGACGTGACGTAGTGATTTGACCTTCAAACTCCTTCAAAACGAACGCCGAATTCCGAAAGTAATCTGGAGTTTTATAGCCAGACAGTGCATGCTCTTTGCTGCACAATTTCAACCGGAAGGTGATTTCTGTTGCGTTGTGGCGATGCCTTTTAAATCCTTGTAAGAAATCAAAATCAACCTTTTCAGGTAAAGTCGATTTTTACTTGTGCAATTGTATAAAATCATGTTATCAACACTTTCGTTACATATTTTGACGATTGTTTAAACACAATAGGCAATAAATAGATTTTAAAAATACAAAACGCCTATGCGTTTCTTTTTTTGGATAGTTTATATCTTCAGCGAATTTCAAGCGAAGTACGCCAGTCTTTTCCAAATCTAAGGCCATGTGAGTATGAGCTATTAAAGAAGATTGTGAACATGTTTAGATCTCAGCAAGTCAAGATTATGACACAGGGAACGTGTAAAGGATTGTGTTAAAGATCTAATTTTTTACTGTACATTGGTAGCTGCTAACTTGCACACCAACAACAGTGTATACATGTCATTTCAGTAATGTCACACATCAACATTGTGCTCAGTTAAGGGGCCATTCATCATTTATGGCTGGGGCTGTGGGTGGCGGGGTGAAGATGATTTTAAGGGGGGTGATCCATATAGTTCTGGGGAGGTGTGGGGGTAAATCAATTTTGTGTACACATGTACTAAGGGAGATAGCAATGTTGTACATGTAAATATTTGAAAATCATGCTTAAAAATTATGCAGCGTTGTCATTGATTTTGTACATGACATGCAAGGGGGGGTATCACTTACTTTATACATAAATTTTAGGGAGAGGGTGATTAATATTTTACATGCTTCTCCATAATGATCATCATCAATACGTGACCTAGCTTTTACCTCACCACAAGTGTATGTTCGACACATCGGCGGCGTTCAACAGATCGTTGTTTCATACGAAGGGAGTAAGTGAGCGAGTTTTACGCCGCACTCAGCAATATTCCAGCTATATGGCGGCGGTCTGATAATAAGTCAGCCTGGACCACACAATCCAGTAATCAACAGCATGAGCATCGATCTACGCAATTGAGATATGATAACATGTGTCAACCAAGTCAGCGAGCCTGACCACCCGATTCCATTGTAGCCATTGAGATCGCGTGTGCTGGAGATTTGGTGCCTAACTCTGGGAATGTGTGTTCGAATCCAGAACGGGACCCAACCCCCAAAAGTACTACAATGTGTGTACAGGGAGAAAATGTAATCCCAGATTGTTACAATGTTTAGGACTGAGACTCGCCTTCGAGAACGCTGACCGTAAGTGTCACCAAATTTCAAACATAAAGTGAAATACATCTTGTTCATACTGAGTCAGATTCTGGTCTGGTCTGGTCATTCCTCCAGGGAAGAATATATTAATGATACGAGGGGATATTAAAAAGTTCTAATTATCACCAAGACTTATTCAGGGTACAAACTTTATTTTGCTTTCTTGTCCTTAGGACTTCTCTACAGAGTCACCATCCCGAGTTACATATTTCTCCCACCGTTTCTTGACGTTGCGCACACCTGCTGAATAGAAGTCCCCTGATTTCATAGAAAACCAACCCTCCACTTCTTGAATGACCCCATTCTTGTTGTCAAAACGACGTCCACGAAGTGGGTTTTTCATCTCTGGGAACAAGAAAAAGTCACTTGGTGCGTCAATGGTTACAAGACGTCTGAAGAAATTCTCTTCATCCTGCTCCAGAAGCTCCAGTGCCTGTCGTGACATGTCCCGTTGAGTGTGTCTTTGAAGAGGAGTCAGTAAGCGAGGAACCCAGCGTGCTGACACTTTGGACATGTGCAGTTGGTTATGAATGATGTTCCATGCACTGCCATAACTCCAGTTGGTCTCATGCATTACCATTTGTATTGTTAAACAGCGATCTTCCTGAACCAGCGCCTCGACATTGTTCACGGTGTCCATATCATCGGTAAGTGAGGGGCGTCCACTTCTTGGCTCATCTGTGAGGGACATTCGACCGGTTTGGAAATACCTTTTCCGTCACACAACAGTGTCATAGAATGGGCTATCATCACCATAAACAGATTTCATCTCTTCGTGAATTTGTCGTGCAGTTCAGCCCTTCAAGTGAAAGAACTTAATGACACTGCGCGCCTCAATCTTCTCCATACTGGGGGCTACTGGTGTGTAGGATCAAGTAGCACAAGACTGAATATAATGAAGTAGATAGTTCTTGGTCCATCAACTAGATATGGATTACCGATGGTACAGTCAAAATTATATCCTGATTGCTCAGTAACTCCTTGGTGATAATTGGAACTTTTTGATACCCCCTCGTATATAAACATATTAAAACACATTTTGAGTTTGAGATGCATCCCTCTCAGCCACGATGATGTAACTGGGACGTTTTGAAGTGGACGAAGAGACGAATACCACCTCAATTGTTCAGGAAGTAAATTTTGCTCCACCTAAATGTGTTATGTTTCACCTTGAACTATGATAACGCCAAAGCACTTTAAGATTGAAGATTTATAACTATCATTGTGTTTTATTAGAGATGGGTCTAGAAAGAAACCTGTAAGCTGGGACGGGACTAACTGACTATCAGCTGACTGCTTGTACTGTGACGTTAAGGGAATTGTATTTACCAACAGGGAGAGAGACGCATCAGAATTACATCATGTTGTTGAAGATTGACCGGGTGGCCAGTAGTCAGGATATGTAACTTGTTCGTGTGTGTGTCACTTGCTCCGATATATCACGCATCACTTGATTGGCGCAGGCTGGATTAATCCCAGACAGTCGTCGATTAGCTCGAAAATACTGAAGGCAGTTTTTAAATTAAACACAACCAAGGATAGGAGTTAAATGCTACTGGAAATGACGTACCGGATATTAAACATTTGCTTAATTCAGCCATGCAGAGATCACAAGTACAAGTCAATTATAAACATTAAAATACATTCAAGAGCAATCCACGGAAATCATCGTCCGTATAATATGATACTCGTGACCTTTCCCACGTTCGTGTTTAAGTTCAAATGTGACATTGATTGTAAAACAAGGATTGCAGGCTCCTGTGTCGTCAGTGTCCCTCACATCGGGAAGCGGAGAACATATACCTTCAACAATGGGAATATTTGCACTGACATTTTTCTGGTTACTTTTTGTGTTTGTGGTAGGGGACTCACATGGTATCCTTGAAATCAACACAGGGCGTATTGGACATGATTGTGAAGAAATGCCTCCATCATCGCCGACAGTTGGAGCAGATAGTGAACCATCTCGCCTTCTCGTTGCTCGATACTCTTACAGAGGTACACCGCCAAAAGAAATACGGCTTGCTGACAGGTCCGTTCGGGATTACCCATTCCTCAACTCCAGTCAGATCAGCTCTCTTGCGTATGTCTCACAGCTGAGAAGGTTGTTAGTTGCTATAGACAACCCTTATGCCATCACATCATATACACTAGACGCACCGGAAGACATGGTTACACTAAGGCGTCACATCCGTACAAACGCAATGGCCGTGGACCAGGGGAGACAACTCGTCTTTCTTTCCGCGTACCACCCGCTATACAGCATCTGTCGGATGACACCACAGGGCGGGGAGTTTCAGTACGTACTTACACAGTCTCGGTATGACGGAACATTTATTGGCGTCACTGTTGATCCGGCGACAAGGACGGTATTCACGGCGTTTCGGACGAAGCTCCTCTCAGTGAACTACGACGGTGAACATTTGCAGACATTGTTTACTGGTGAGGCTGTATATGCTGTGAATTTCGATCCAGTGGACCATACCCTGTACTTCAACCACAACGAAAACGTGATGAAGATGTTGCCTGGTTCCACCGAGCCTACTCAGGTGCATGAGTTGGAGTATGTACCGTTCACATTCGCTTACTATAACAGCAGCCTTTATGTCGGAAGCTATGCAGCTGGAGATGTCGGTGTCATACGTCTTGGCAACCGTTCCGTAGAATACGAGGAGTTGCTGCAGGTGGAACTCACTTTTCGCGTGAGCGTTTGCTTACTACCATAAAAGGCAATAACATGACGATATTACATGCCAGTCTAATAATGTAGTTTCTCGGAAACAATTATCTCTGATGATGTGACTGTTATGCCTGTGTATCATGTTATTGATAGACGAGTTTGTAGCAGGTGCTTCTATAAACTGAATATAAATAGGCATTGATTCTTGTCATATTCATTGATGTTTTGTGTTCATGTTTTACACATACATGCCAGCACGCCAACCCCATGTCTATATACGATCAGTGTCCCATGTAGAGTAGTAGTTAGAATTCGACGTTCTCATCGCCAAGGCCGGGATTCGACTCCCCGACTGGGAAGTACATTTTTCATCTTAAGTCTTAAATCTGTTGTGAAAATGTTGTATTTTCAAACATGTATAACTCGTCCACAAATATACTTAAGTTCATGAATTTTTACATCAGTTTAAGGAAGGAACAAAGTGAATAACTTTAGATAACGGAGACATTGAGCGCGATGATCACGACGTAGCATGGTCCTGACATCGGGTCTCCTGGCTCTCAGTCCAATCTCTCTCAACCTGTTCTGTACAGTTTGACCGGATATCCCCCGAAGTCCAGGCACCCGGGCTGCAGTACGATCACGCAAATGTAGTACCCTGAAGTACCGATCTTGTGGTGCAGTGGTGACTCGAGGTCTGCATGTATGGGAACGGCCATTTGTTATACCTGTCAGGTTGTAACGAGCTGTAAGCCGTGATATCGTGCTCAGACTAACATTCAGACGCCTGGCAACAGACAATTAGTTATCTCCAGCGTGCATTCTAGCAATGGCGATGTTCCGTGTCGCAGCGTCAAGACGTGACGTAGTGATTTGACGTTCAAACTCCTTCAAAACGAACGCCGAATTCCGAAAGTAATCTGGAGTTTTATAGCCAGACAGTGCATGCTCTTTGCTGCACAATTTCAACCGGAAGGTGATTTCTGTTGCGTTGTGGCGATGCCTTTTAAATCCTTGTAAGAAATCAAAATCAACATTTTCAGGTAAAGTCGACTTTTTACTTGTGCAATTGTATAAAATCATGTTATCAACACTTTCGTTACATATTTTGACGATTGATTTAACACAATAGGCAATAAATAGATTTTTAAAAATACAAAACGCCTATGCGTTTCTTTTTTTGGATAGTTTATATCTACAGCGAATTTCAAGCGAAGTACGCCAGTCTTTTCCAAATCTAAGGCCATGTGAGTATGAGCTATAAAAGAAGATTGTGAACATGTTTAGACCTCAGCAAGTCAAGATTATGAGGCAAGGAACGTGTTAAGGATTGTGTTAAAGATCTAATTTTTTACTGTACATTGGTAGCTGCTAACTTGCACACCAACAACAGTGTATACATGTCATTTCAGTAATGTCACACATCAACATTGTGCTCAGTTAAGGGGCCATTCATCATTTATGGCTGGGGGTGTGGGTGGTGGGGTGAAGATGATTTTAAGGGGGGTGATCCATATACATCTGGGGAGGTGTGGGGGATAATCAATTTTGTGTACACATGTACTAGGGGAGATAGCAATGTTGTACATGTAAATATTTGAAAATCATGCTTAAAAATTATGCAGCGTTGTCATTAATGTTGTACATGACATGCAAGGGAGGGGGGTATCACTTACTTTGTACATACATTTTAGGGGGAGGGTGATTCACATTTTAAATGCTTCTCCATAATGATCATCATCAATACGTGACCTAGCTTTTACCTCACCACAAGTGGTTGTTCGACACATCGGCGGCGTTCAACAGATCGTTGTTTCATACGAAGGGAGTAAGTGAGCGAGTTTTACGCCACACTCAGCAATATTCCAGCTATATGGCGGCGGTCTGACAATAAGTCAGTCTGGACCACACAATCCAGTGATCAACAGCATGAGCATCGATCTACGCAATTGAGTGTCAACCAAGTCAGCGAGCCTGACCACCCGATTCCATTGTAGCCATTGAGATCGCGTGTGCTGGAGATTTGGTGCCTAACTCTGGGAATGTGTGTTCGAATCCAGAACGGGACCCAACCCCCAAAAGTACTACAATGTGTGTACAGGGAGAAAATGTAATCCCAGATTGTTACAATGTTTAGGACTGAGACTCGCCTTCGAGAACGCTGACCGTAAGTGTCACCAAATTTCAAACATAAAGTGAAATACATCTTGTTCATACTGAGTCAGATTCTGGTCTGGTCTGGTCATTCCTCCAGGGAAGAGTATATTAATGATACGAGGGGATATTAAAAAGTTCTAATTATCACCAAGACTTATTCAGGGTACAACTTTATTTTGCTTTCTTGTCCTTAGGACTTCTCTACAGAGTCACCATCCCGAGTTACATATTTCTCCCACCGTTTCTTGACGTTGCGCACACCTGCTGAATAGAAGTCCCCTGATTTCATAGAAAACCAACCCTCCACTTCTTGAATGACCCCATTCTTGTTGTCAAAACGACGTCCACGAAGTGGGGTTTTCATCTCTGGGAACAAGAAAAAGTCACTTGGTGCGTCCATGGTTACAAGATGTCTGAAGAAATTCTCTTCATCCTGCTCCAGAAGCTCCAGTGCCTGTCGTGACATGTCCCGTCGAGTGTGTCTTTGAAGAGGAGTCAGTAAGCGAGGAACCCAGCGTGCTGACACTTTGGACATGTGCAGTTGGTTATGAATGATGTTCCATGCACTGCCATAACTCCAGTTGGTCTCATGCATTACCATTTGTATTGTTAAACAGCGATCTTCCTGAACCAGCGCCTCGACATTGTTCACGGTGTCCATATCATCGGTAAGTGAGGGGCGTCCACTTCTTGGCTCATCTGTGAGGGACATGCGACCAGTTTGGAAATACCTTTTCCGTCACACAACAGTGTCATAGAATGGGCTATCATCACCATAAACAGATTTCATCTCTTCGTGAATTTGTCGTGCAGTTCAGCCCTTCAAGTGAAAGAACTTAATGACACTGCGCGCCTCAATCTTCTCCATACTGTGGGCTACTGGTGTGTAGGATCAAGTAGCACAAGACTGAATATAATGAAGTAGATAGTTCTTGGTCCATCAACTAGATATGGATTACCGATGGTACAGTCAAAATTATATCCTGATTGCTCAGTAACTCCTTGGTGATAATTGGAACTTTTTGATACCCCCTCGTATATAAACATATTAAAACACATTTTGAGTTTGAGATGCATCCCTCTCAGCCACGATGATGTAACTGGGACGTTTTGAAGTGGACGAAGAGACGAATACCACCTCAATTGTTCAGGAAGTAAACTTTGCTCCACCTAAATGTGTTATGTTTCACCTTGAACTATGATAACGCCAAAGCACTTTAAGATTGAAGATTTATAACTATCATTGTGTTTTATTAGAGATGGGTCTAGAAAGAAACCTGTAAGCTGGGACGGGACTAACTGACTATCAGCTGACTGCTTGTACTGTGACGTTATGGGAATTGTATTTACCAACAGGGAGAGAGTCGTTATGGACCCATCCCTCCCAGGTTGTTCAAATAGGGTGGCAGTACTAACTGGAAGGCTATATAATACAAAAGTGTTTATAGCAACATTGATTTCAAGAGAGACGCATCAGAATTACATCATGTTGTTGAAGATTGACCGGGTGGCCAGTAGTCAGGATATGTAACTTGTTCGTGTGTGTGTCACTTGCTCCGATATATCACGCATCACTTGATTGGCGCAGGCTGGATTAATCACAGACAGTCGTCGATTAGCTAGAAAATACTGAAGGCAGTTTTTAAATTAAACACAACCAAGGATAGGAGTTAAATGCTACTGGAAATGACGTACCGGATATTAAACATTTGCTTAATTCAGCCATGCAGAGATCACAAGTACAAGTCAATTATAAACATTAAAATACATTCAAGAGCAATCCACGGAAATCATCGTCCGTATAATATGATACTCGTGACCTTTCCCACGTTCGTGTTTAAGTTCAAATGTGACATTGATTGTAAAACAAGGATTGCAGGCTCCTGTGTCGTCAGTGTCCCTCACATCGGGAAGCGGAGAACATATACCTTCAACAATGGGAATATTTGCACTGACATGTTTCTGGTTACTTTTTGTGTTTGTGGTAGGGGAAATCAACACAGGGCGTATTGGACATGATTGTGAAGAAGTGCCTCCGTCATCGCCGACAGTTGGAGCAGACAGTGAACCATCTCGCCTTCTCGTTGCTCGACACACTTACAGAGGTACACCGCAAGAAATACGGCTTGCTGACAGGTCCGTTCGGGATTACCCATTCCTCAACTCCAGTCAGATCAGCGCTCTTGCATATGTCTCACAGCTGAGAAGGTTGTTAGTTGCTATAGACAACCCTTATGCCATCACATCATATACACTAGACGCACCGGAAGGCATGGTTACACTAAGGAGTCGCATCCGTACAAACGCAATGGCCGTGGACCAGGGGAGACAACTCGTCTTTCTTTCCATGTACTACCCGTCATGCAGCATCTGTCGGATGACACCACAGGGCGGGGAGTTTCAGTGCGTACTTAGCAGGTCTCGGTATGAAGGAACATTTATTGGCGTCACTGTTGATCCGGCGACAAGGACGGTATTCACGGCGTTTCGGACGAAGCTCCTCTCAGTGAACTACGACGGTGAACATTTGCAGACATTGTTTACTGGTGTACCTGTATATGCTGTGAATTTCGATCCAGTGGACCATACCCTGTACTTCAACCACAACGAAAACGTGATGAAGATGTTGCCTGGTTCCACCGAGCCTACTCAGGTGTATGAGCTGGAGTATGTACCGTTCAGCTTCGCTTATTATAACAGCAGTCTTTATGTCGGAAGCTTTTCAGCCCGAAATGTCGGTGCCATACGTCTTGGCAACCGTTCCGTAGGATACGAGGAGTTGCTGCAGCTGGAACGCAGTTTTCGCGTGAGCATTTGCTTACTGCCATAAAGGGCAATAACATGACGATATTTCATGCCAATCTAATAATGTAGTTTCTCGGAAACAATTATCTCTGATGATGTGACTGTTACGCCCATGTACTATGTTATTGATAGACGAGTTTGTACCAGGTGCTTCTATAAACTGAATATAAATAGGCATCGCTTCTGGTCATATTCATTGATGTTTGTGTTCATGTTTTACATATTGATAGGTATGGTGTATTCCAACCCCAAGTA